GTATATGGGGCCAGTGCCCTACTCCTTGAGCCACAAGCACCAAAATGATTTTTTTTAAATAAGCAAAACCCACAATCCATCTAGGACAGTGGTTTTCAACCTGTGGGTCATGACCCACAGGAACTGTACTAAACACCTGAGGCATTAGGAAGGTTGAGAACCACTGATCTAGGAAAAGATTAATCCATTTGATTACATTTAAAATCAAGAACTTTTGTTTATCAGAAACATCTTAAAGACAGTAAAAAGAAAAAATCCTATAAGGCTGGGCGCGGTGGCTCACACCTGTAATCCTAGCATTCTGGGAGGCCAAGGCCATTCTGGATCCCTTGAACTCAGGAAGAAAGAAAGATCACATAATAGAAAAAAATATGTTCAGCACCTGTAACTGTGAGAGGATTAGTATCCAGAACATAGAAGCTCCCTTAAAAATTGACAAGAGGCTCAGTGCCTGTAACTCAGGGGCCAGGGTGCCAGCCACATACACTGGAGCTTACGAGTTTGAACCCAGCCTGGGCCTGCCAAACAACAATGACAACTACAACAAAAAAATAATCAGGTGTTGTGGCAGGTGCCTGTAGTCCCAGCTATTTGTGAGGCTAAGGCAAGAGAATCGCTTAAGCCCAAGCGTTTGAGGTTGCTGTGAGCTGTGATGTGATGGTACTCTACTGAGGGTGACATAGTGAGACTTTGTCTCAAAAAACAGAATCAACATGAAAAAGATGAACAATCCAATCAACAAATGAGTAAAATATTTGATAGACATGGTGGCACAGAAGGGGAACACAATCAATAAACACTCAAAAAGTTTGTAGATCTTGAGAAACCAAAGCAATGCAACTTGTCAATGCGTTCTAACAAGATTGGTAAAAGTCATTGGATCTGAAACCACCAGTTGTTGACAAGGGTATGCAATAACAGGAACTCTTGAAGACTTCTGGTCAGAGTGTAAATTGGCATGATAAATGGAAAAAAATTGTCATTATTGACAGATGCTGAAAATGTGCGTATTTTACAAACCACAATTCTACTTTTTGGCACATACTCAGCTGTTGTGTTGTGTAATGTAGTAGCCACTAGCCACACGTAGTCACTGGGTCCATGAAAAGTGTCCAGACTGTGCTGAAATGTCCTGTAAGTGTTAAAGTACACAGTGGATTTTGGAGATTTAGTGTGAAAACAATTTAAATATTTCATTCACATTTATTTTGAAATATTGGCACAAGTTGAAATGGTAATATTTTGGATATATTGGTGTAAATAGAATACTATCAAAATTAATTTCATCTCTTATAGAGCTTTTTTGACTTTTTAATATGGCCAGGATAAAATTTAAGTTCACATGCAATTCTCATACGTGGATCATGGTGACTTTTCTGTGACTCGTGCTGCTCTAGAGGCATTCTTGCCCATCTACACGGGAAGACAGATGTAAGATTGCAAAGAGCCACATTGTTTGAACTGGAAATAACCCGGATGTTCATTGAGAAGAGAATGGAGAAATAAATCGTTATATTAATTTAGTGATTGAATGTTAAATTCACTTAGTGATGGTAAGTGAAACATGGCTGTTTCTTATGAATGTTATGTTAAGAAGATGAAACAAGTTGCAAAGAATATTTATAGTGTGATTCTGTCCATTTAAATTTCAAATGAAAGGCCATGTTGAAAATATATTATTTAGGGATATGTCCGTAAATAGTAAAATTAGAGAGAAAAACAAAGGAGAAAAGTAGAGGAGGAGGAGAGGGGAAGGCAGGTCGGTACTTCCAGGGGACTGGAACATTCTGTTTTCAGCAAGGTGATGTGTACAAAGTGTACTTCGATTTTATTGTTCTCCATTTTAATCTATTCAGTAGTTTTTTTTAAACTTGCCCTTTTGGGGTTGGTTTTGGTGGGGGCAGAAAAGCGATTTTGATTACTGATTCAACTTTTTTAATCATTATTTTTTTTTAGGCTTCCTATGTACAGTGATTTTTGTTAATTAACACCTTTATAGGAAAAATTCCATTTTACCTAAATGTTCAAATTTATGTACATAGGGCTCTTTAAAATGTCCATATGATTTAAAAAAAGTTCATACTGTTTCTATAGTTATATCTCCCTTTTTGTTTCTAGCATTTTTATTTGTACACTTTATTTTTTTAAATTATTTTTTATTAAATCATAACTTTGTACATTGATGCATTTATAGGGTTTGGGGTACTGCTTTGATATACAAGGTGAAATGCTTACATTGAACTAAGTAACACATCCATCACAATTATACTCATTTCTTAATAGTTTCAAAATGTATCATTGCATCATGCACATTAGGTGGGGTCCCCCCAAATACCCTCCCTCCTCTTCCCATATCCCCCCTCGCCTCCTCCTCTCCCTTCTTCTAGCTCTGGACTATAGTTCTGTTTTGTCATTCGTATGAGTGTGTACACTTTATTCTTGTTAGAAATAATTTTAATAATTTTTTTCAAAGAACCAGTTTTTGTTTTTTGTGTATGGACTTTATTGTTTGTTTCTTATTCATTGATTTCTGTCTCTGTTTTGTCATTTCCTTCCAACTCTTTTAGATTTACTCAATTTTTCCTTCATACTTTCTTAAATAATTTTCAGTTTTCATTGTTTTGTAATAAAT